TTGGCAGGGCATTAGCCACTGCTAAGAGGAGAGTGTTTGGTGAGGTCTGTGACTATCCACCACTCCAGTTTGAGAAGAAGACAATAACACAGATGAACCTATGCTCCTTATTCTTCCTACTTCTGTTAGTGCTCTTGTCTCCACTCTTCAGTTTGCCTCTACCCCCTTTGATATTCTTATCAAAATTTAATTCTCTCAGTGTTTTCTTCCCTGCATTACCAGCACTCTCTCCCAGTTTCTCCTTTCATGGCATTTCCCTCTTATCTTCTTTTGAGGCCAAATTACTTTTGTTTTGTACCACCCGGTTTTCTTTCACCAGCTCTATTCCTCCTCTTCACAACCCAAACTCTGTTTTCCCAGGAGGTTTGGCTTATCCCAGCTCTTTGAATTCAATTAATTGATCTTCATCAGCCAGATTGCCATTGGCAAAGAAAACCAGCACGCTGACTGTCTTTGTGCTTTAACTTCTGTTTTATTCTCATTTAATTTGTGCCCTTAGCAGCTTACTAAGCCCTAATTACCTCTGCTGCCACCTCACTGTATTCAATTATAGCCTTCATCTCACTGACCTGATGTCTCTGTCCTCATCAAATCTCACCTTTCTGACTTTGCCCATTATTTTTGTACAAAGTCAGTACCCTCCATGGGGAGTTCTGTTCTTCCAATCTCACTTCATTTTCTTGACTGTTTCCAAGCACTTATGCTCCATTTCCCTGCCTTCACTTCTCCAAGTTATTATAGGATTCACCAGAGGACAGACAGACCAGGCACTCAGGCAGTGGTTTCAACCAGGACATCTTGACCTGGCTTGAAGAAAATTGATCTATACATCAGCATCTCATGGTAAGCATAAAAAAAAATCTCCCACACCCACTGCACAAACCCTCAGATGCCCATACAGGGCTATTTAATACATTTTTACTGGTAGAAATGATCCCTCTGGTGCCTGGGTACCTCCTCTCCTGCTGCTTTCATTCCGCTTCCTATTATCTCTTCTCCCACCATCCCATCCCACCGCTGTCAGGTCATGATCCTCAGATATGCCTCTTTCAAATAGCCTAAATTTCCCATATCCTTCACTCCCTGACCTACTTTTGTGCTGCTCCTGCTCTCTTCCTTCTTGCAAATCTGACAATAGTGCAGTGCTGACCACAGCAGTAATACCTTTACTCTTCCTCCACTCTCTTCATTCTGCTTTGTTTCTTTATGTCTGACTTTGTTAACTTCTCTGGAAAGACTGATGTTTTCCTTGTACCTAACATCCTATCCCTTTGCCCTATTTTAATTTTTACCTTTCTTTTCATATTTTCTCTCTCCCATGATGGTGATTTTTGAGTGATTTATGGGCTCTATTTTGGAAGCAGGGATGGTTCACCACTTGAAAAACTCTTAGCCGCAACAGAGAAATGCCCCTGAAAGTTCATTTCTCACTGAGTTTCTCCTTCAAAGTGCTGATGTTTGACCTTTCCAGCTTTCCTGCCTCTTGTTGTGAAGTCCTTTCATATGGCTAAATTGGACTCTGGGTGACATCTGTGATTCTGCCCAGCAGGTTTCTGGTGAGTGCTTGGATCCCTCATGAGTGGATTCTGGTGAGTGCTGCATCAAACTTCATCTGCTGATGGCAATATACCATGGTCCATCATGCCTCTGATATCTCCTAATTTCATTCACTCCACTAGTGCTTCTTTAAAAAAAGAAATTCTGTCAACTGCTGCCACACTGCCCATGTAAAGGGTGTCATGCAAGAAGGTTCTGGACATGAAGACTTGCTGCAGGAGCCCCAGCCTATTAAAAACAATGCCTGTGTGATTTCTTTCTGTTTTTTTAATCCATCTCACAGGTGAGGAGGATCTGGGCAATTGCCCTTTCTAGGCTTTCAAACTCATCAGTCAGGATTCTGATTCCTCCCAATGTTCTGATTCCCATTTCAGCTCTTTTCTCAGCTGGATGTTTGACCTCATTGTTGGTTTCTCATAGTGCTGGTGCTGAGATGTGGCCTTGAGGAAATTTGCAGATCATAGGCATCAAATTATATATAAAATCCACCTGCTCCAATCCTTTGCTGTTCACAGGGAGCCAGGGTCCCCTGTCCTGAAGCTGAGCCCCACTCAGGGAAGGTCTCCAAAAATAACCTTGATCTTTCCTCTCCCACAATGAGATCTATTGCTCTGGACTGGGAGGGTGGCTCCTGAAATGATATGCTAATTCCCCAGCCATTAGTGCAGCCTCAGATGAACATTTCCCTGTGAGGGAACAGGCTGTGAGACTTTCCCTGAGTTATTTTCTCACCTGGGGCTTGCTCCAGAGGCAATGAGCAGAGTTACTGCTCGATCTCTCACTCACAAAGGAGTGAAGCATGGTCAGGTTCCTCCTCTGACCTTATGTTAGAAGAGAAAGTGCTTTTTAGTACTTTTTCTTTTTGACATGACTGTACTCCTTTATCTTCTTCCTATTCTTCCTGAACACTAAACTCCCTTCACAATCCCCTTGCTAATCACAAAATTCCTTTTTTCCTTCCTCCCTGTTTTACTCTGATGTGTTACTAGAGAGATACATGAGAATAAAACAAAATAAAGTGTAAATTTGGAAAACACAGAGCTGTTTTGATTATCTGGTTGCTTTTGTGCCATCCTTGAAAATTCTGTTTCTGTGTAAGAAATTCTTTTAAATCAGAGGAGATCTTTGTGCCTTCCCTGTTCATTGAGATGTTTTGTGGTACACACAGGTACAGTAATATGACAGCTGAGCTTCAGGTATGCTGAATGATTCCCATTTATCCCAAAGCTTTGCATGAAAGCAAGTTATTATTAAATCATTGAACAAGTCTCTTTCTAAGCCTCCCAGAGCAGGCAGTCTGAATCCAATCCCTTCCCAGGGTGCAATTAAATGAAATCTTCAGCCCTGTTGCAATATTTATCCCAGGGCATCAGATGGAATGACAGAGTTTAATACTGCAAAGAATTACAGTGGCATTTTTTATCATGTCCAGCTTACATCTCAGCCTTGCTTTCATTTACTTACCTCTAAATTCAGTGTATTTACTCTTCAAAGGTGTACTGTGGCTATTTCTGCCTAGTAAAAAATAGATAATGTGTGTGCCTACAGCTTGTTGTAAATGTGTACAGAAGCACATTATGGGGGTCAGATTTCCAGGAGACACAAACCAACACTATTTCTTTAATGTGCTTGTAATATCAGCCAACTTTCACTGCTTAGAACTATTTACAGCTATTTTCCCCTTTACACAATGGATTTCAAGGTCACAGTCACCAATAAAACAGAGGAATTGGGTCAGACTGGAATGTCTGCACCTACTGTAAGATGAATGAACTACTTAAAATCGGTGGTGGTGCTACAGGCCCCTGTTGACACATAAATTGGTGAGTGTTAAGTTAGTGAGCTTGGGAACTTAGTGTCTGGAAGGAGGAACTCAGAGTTTTACTGCCTTATGGATGTGCTGTAAGTGAAGCAGAACGATGTGATGACAATGGCACTGGGTGGGTTACCCAAAGTGTTGTGTGATTTGGGGCACATCTTTCACCTGGACACACTCTCTCTGCTCACTGGGGTGAAATAAAGGTGCTGCTCCTTTCCTCTGCACTGAGAACCTTAGAGCAGAGCAGCTTTTATTCTCTAACATAAAGCCCTCGTTGAGAAAGACAGGTTGTATCTGTAGGGATGCATAGCCTGTGGAGCTGAGCACTAGAGCTCCTCTGATTTGATAAGGTTCATAAACATTCCCATCATTTTTTTTGTTCCCAGGGCAAGCAGGTGGAGGCAAATCTCTATGACTTCCAGGAATACTAAGGTTTTTGTGAGTCTGCTTCTTCCCTAACCTGGCTAAGGGAGGCTCTGCCTTGCTGTCATGAGAGATACTTTTATTTAAAAGTGCCTTTTCCTTCTACACTCCTGTCAGTTTTCTTTCAAAGCTATCTCAGAGTGGTAATTTGGGAAATCAAGCTTAAAGCTTCCAATTACTCTGTTGACAGACCTCTTTCAGAGTCCAGGCCACTTCTTTATTGGTGATTCACATTTTGCACCCTGAACAGTAGGTTTCCTATTTCAGAAGTTTGAAGTTGTCTCAGAAGGAGACCTTCTCTCCTGACATGGTGGTGGTGGAGCTACAGCAGCAAACCCCAGTCTATCTCCTCTTATTTAGGGTCCTTGCCATCCTTTGGAGCAGGTGGAGGGGTGCTCCTTACTTTTTTTGGACACATCTTCTGCATTTTAGGCATCTGTCATGCCTTTGGACAGTTGCTGCATTTTCTGTCCTGTTTCCTTTTAGCATGGATGCATGGAAGGGGAGTGCAGGTGTGCTGAGCATAGGGTTTTACTGCTAGGATTGAGCTGGGAGCAGTAGCTGCTTATTTCTCTGGAGTTCAGGCTGGAGTGGAGACAAGATGGGGAAAGTGAGTGTTCAGAGATGCTAAGGATAAAATGGTGAGGAAAGGAAGTGGTTGTTAATCAAGGAATGTGGTCCTCCTGAGTTAAAAAAATTAAGAAACTAAAATTTTAACGAGAATAAGATCAGCTTAAGGTAAGAGAAATATAAAGAATTTAAAAAGCAACATAGGTGATCAATGATTGCTAGGTGTGGTTAAAAGCAAGTCCATACAGCTCCTGCTTGTAGTCAACAATTGCCAAGATGAAATGAATAGCCTAAGGATATATGCATCATTCCACTTATCTTAATACTCTGTTAAGAATATGACTATGTATCATTTACTCGTCTTGTGTTTACAGAAGGCCTGTGGGCCGTCCCTCCCCTTTTTACCTTCTCTGTCCTTTCCCTAGAAAGTTCTCCCTTCCCAGTTTCCCCATTGGCCCCAATTTGCTGCAATCTCCACCCCTCTTATCCCACTGGTTCTCCCTCCCCCTGACCCCGCTCACACACCACTTTACCCTGTTCCTATTGGACCCTGACCCTTGGATCCACCCCCTCAAACCCATATAAATCCCTTTACCCACCAGTATTCTCTTTCTTTTTTCCTGGACCCCTTCAGTGTGTGACTACAGGAAACCCCACAGGAACTCCATACAAGGACCCTTCCTGGCTCTCTGTTGTAGCTCTGCTGTCTGTGGTGAGTGTGAGTGTGATTGCAGCCTGCTCAGACACGTTCTTCCCTGGAGGCACTTTTGGGAAGGCAGTGTCACCTCACCATCACCATCTGATGCTGCAGAAGGAGACATGAATGATGAAGTGTTGTGGAAAGAAAGGGACCGTGTCTGCACCCCCAGGCAAGGAATCTGAGCCAAGTCCAAGAGAACCGGGAGAGCTGCCAATGAGGCACAGTTAAAAAGTTAAAGCCTGAGGAAGAGGGAGATTTCCTTGAAAGGACCCCAGACCCATTTTAAAAGAGGAACTGAGCACACACAGAGGGGTGTGGAGCTCATTGCCAGATGAGGCGAGAGTGGGCAGAGTCAGGCAGTGAATATTAGGCACATTGTGTAATCCTGTGCATCTGTAACACTTTGGGGAATAAGCAGGGAATGAGGGGCAGTGGTGGGGTGCACATGTTTTTGAGAGGTGACTCCATGGGCCTCCTGGCCATAATAAACATACCCTCCCTAACTTTAAATAGTTGAAGAGTCCTTTGTGATTTTACTGCTTCACTCCATGTAGAGCTTCTCATGAAGAGCATTGCATGGGGAAACGGACTGTAGGAAACATGAGAGAAATAGCTTTATTTTTGAAAATGGTTTTATTTTTGAATAGAAGACTTAAGGAGGATATGAAAGTTACTGATGAGTGAGAAGAAAACACTTAAGTTCATTTTTTGTAATTTGTATTAATTACCTGTGCCTGACTATGTCATGGGACCAGGCAGGGATTCTGCCTTGCTTTTGTGCTTGGAGAGCTGCAAGGACCTGAGAGCCAAGACCTCATTACTCAAGATTCCCTGCGGCTGAAGGACAACTTCATCCAAGCAGGCAAGACCTGGGCCATTTCTGAGTATCTCATGTTCTGTGTCCAGCTGAGAGGAGTTTGGATGGCATCACCATGTACAGGTGAGTTCCAGGTGCCTGCTCTGGTCTCCCTCCCTGGTTTCTCTTTACAGGTGGATGAGAACAAAGGGGTTACTGAGTCAGTGTAGAGCTTGTTCATGCTTTTTCAGTGCTGTTACCAGCAGTGATTGTACAATTTAAAGGCTAACATGCAATGGAAGAAGCTCTTCCTGGGAGCTTTGTTTCAGGACCAGAGGTAATTTTTCTGAGGCTGATAATGTTGAAAATTAATAATTCCCCATTTGAATTAATTAATGTATTTTGATTGTCTTAGTATTAGGAATGTAATGAAGAAAAAGTGCATGTGGGGGAGGTGAACCCAATTAAAATGTAATTGTTTCATTCAATTCGCAATCTTGCATTAGTGAATCTGTGAAAAGGAGTTTTTATAATTAATGAGAAAAATAGGTTTGATGATGTCTGCCACCACATTTGGAGTCCGTCTATACTACAACAAAAAGAAATTCAAGATGTTTGTGTCTGGAAACAGCATCTGGTATGTATCCCTCCTTTCTGACTTGCTAAGAGTTTATTAATCATTTACATGAGAATAGAAAAAGCCATTCAAAAGAAGAAAATATATAATGATCCTTTACTGCCACTTCTAATACTGGAAATATCTAATGTATCATAGTGGGGACCCTCCTCCAGAATGGTAAGGCTTATAAACTTGATGAAATGACTACCTTCTAACTAAATTCCATCTGTTCCAAATATTCCGGGAAGCACTGTGTTGCACTAGATTTTGGCAAACTGTTATATGAGGTTCAGCCCCATATTAGCATTTTAATTGCTGCCTGATTGCTTTTATGTTGCAAAACTCAGTTCGCAACAGTGTGTAGGTTGCAATTAGTTTTTACTGTGTGATTCATTAGTTCCTATAAAGCATGTCGTGCTGCAACATTTGGAAGGTAATTTGCTAGAAACATTAGTGCTGGCATTCAGGGGTGGGGAGTGGCACTGGAAATGCAGCAGTCCTGCCTTCTACAGGCTGAGCCCACGTTTGCTGGCAGGACCTCTTCTCTCTAGTGAGATTGAGCTAACAGCTGCAGATGAAATTGTCTCATGGTGACAGGTTTTCCATGTAAACAGCATCTTGTTCCTGCAGCCTGCTCCGGATGGGTTTACATCTGCCTGGGATCTGAGCGCGGCTGGTAGAATGGACACGGCTGTGGGAGTTCCTTTCCTGGGAGTTTGGCTGCAGAGCTCAGCCTGGTTTGTGGTATTCCTCTGGGGGATGTCTTCTTCATGCCTCAAGAATCTCACACTTCCTTTGGAGATGCTGTCATGTTCACATGGCTCGTCATGGGGAGGATGTGTTTGTTCAAGTTACATGAATCAGTTGTGCCTTGGGAAAAGGGAAGAAATTAAGTACCATCTTTAAAACTCTGCTACCTCCATCATCCTATAGTCCCTAGACAAAAAACAGGTATTTCAACTGGGTTTAAAACCAGCCAAGACTTCTTAGCCCCATTCTGTTAAGAACAGTGGTTCATTTTGCCTTTTTCTATGTCTTTCAGAAACTGTTGTCTCTAGCAGAAAAATTAAAAAAATAGTGTTCTAAATCCTGGCTGTGAATGGCCTGTCTGGGGTGCATCACACCACACATGACACTTCAGTACTCACTGCTAGCACCTCTCTGAAGGTGTAAATCTCAAAATGTAGCCTATGGTTTTAAGGAGGAATTTGAATTTTTCCTGACTGATTGATAAAAAAGGATGCAGAAAACAATAGCTAAGACATCTCCCTTCTGAGAAATTACCCATAGGATGTTCTGGGTTTCCTTTCATCTCTTTTCACAAACTCTGAAGATTTGAAGTCAAACTTTTGGGCATCTTGACTGTCAGAAGTTCTGCCTTGGGAGCACTTGCCAAGTGAAGAAAAACTAATTCCTGCAGAAATCCATTTAAATAAAGCTAAACTGGCATATTTTTAATTATATAACAAATAAGGTAAAATATAAACTTTCAATACTTCAGCTCAGACTGTAAAAGCTCACTCAATTTTCTAGCATATGCTTTACACCTGTAGGAGTCAAAACCACCTGCAGCAGTTTAGTCTTCCCTGTTGGTTTGGTCTAAGTGGCAGCTGCCTCCCAGCCTTGATTTTTCATCTCTCAGATTCAGCATCTTGTTGCTCACACCAAATTGTAGTGCAAGGTGGGGTCTGTGCTGGGAGATTTGAGATGCATGCTCTAGTTGTCTGTTGATAACTCTGATTATGGAAAAAGAGTTTATTTGTTCCTTTCAGCTCAAGCTGTCCAGTGTGTTCTCTGTTGTGCTAGGACAGTCTGACTGCTGAGAGGATGAGTGCAGAGGTCAGCTGCCAGGTAAAGGTGAGTGGCTCCTAAGATTTTATGTTAGGTGTGAGTCAAAAGTGCAGGATTTGTGCCTCTTTTTGTGTTTCTGCTGCCTGGACAGTGAAAGCCATGGGAGGTGTACTGACAGCAACAGAGGTAATGTCAAAGTGGGGTAGATGGAAATCTTTATCCTGCTGCCTTTTCCTATTTATATAGCTTGTAGTGTGTGGAGCCTAACCAGCCAAAAATCTTCCCTGAAGGCTTAGCTGGTAGTCAGTGTTGGCTGCTGTGCCAGCACTGCCTGTGAATAATTTGTTTGGATCTCTGTAGGGTGGGAGTAGGCAGGATTTCCCAAGTAGGAGTTTGCCTTGCTCAAGTTTGAGGACTAAGTCCCACCAGAGCAGCTGCTGTGACTGCAGTGAAATACAAGTGAGTTTCCTGTGTGTATTTGAATCCTTGCTCCAAATATAACAGTTCATAAAGAAATAGCCAGGGAAATCAGGAGCACCATTTGCTCTGCTCATCCTCTGCTGGCCCACAGAGGTGGGCAGCGCAGGGCAGGCAGTGGATGTGGGAAGGGAAAGTGATGGGCTGAGATTTGAATGGTGCAAATGCATATTTGGTGTCTGACATGCAGGAAGGTGGGCACTGACTCTGGTGAACTCTACTGAGCCTGTCTAGTTGCCTTGGATTTAGTCCTGTAGTGTTACCCAGACTCTCTTGGGAATGGTGATTATTCAGTACCCAGTAGAGCTGATCTCCAGGAGTGTGGCTAAGACTTAGGAATCATGAAAACGTAACCATGAAAATATAAATCCTTTGTTGCAGTGGAAATATTTTTCTTCAGCCCAACTTATACTGGTTAAAATGATAAGCTGAGCTGGAAAAAAAAAAAAGCCCAAAAGTCTGTGTTACACTTGAGTAGAACTGTCTGTGTGCTGTATAACTGTAAGTAACTGAGAATTACGTGGGGCATTGTAGTGATCAAAATTTACTGAAGAGGCAAATCCTTACACCAGAGACAGTAACATATCTGTGCAACAGCATGGTTGGAAGGAGTTTTTTTTCCACAGTCTTTTTTTTTCTGTATAAGCTTTAAAGGAAAATTGAGACTTTTATAAATTTATATTTAAGAAATGAGCAAGTAAATTAAGACTTTTTTCTAAATGTAAAATTGATTTCTTTTTTTTTCTTTCCACCTTCCCCAAACATTCCTTTGGTGAGGAAGCGCAGGTGGGGATGGTTGTCAATATTTTTTTCATCCCAGCACTTTCAGTGTGTAGAGCTGCCCTCAGAGACTCCCTTTGCCCCTGCAAAAAAAATGAGGGACACTTTTGGAGATAAGGCATTTGCTTTTTACCCACCAATGGGTAAAAAGGGGAATAAAAGCTGATGACAATATAGGACTTGGTACATACTTAAAAAAATAAATGCAGCCTAGTGCTGCTCATATTTCCAGCTTTCTTCTCTTATTCATTTTTCTTTCACAAGCACAAGCTGTAGGTGGGGGAAGTTTGAATGAAGTTGGCAGAGGCATTTTGTGTGAGACTGTGCTGCTTTTAATGTACCCCACGTACCACTTTAGCCATCACTGCTGCTTCTGTGAGACTTTTGATGGTGACATTGTGGTTTGCTGAAAAGGCTCTGAAATCCTGTGGAGAGGCTGATTTTCTATTTCACTGTGTTTTATAGATTGTCTTTTGCAAATGTGTTTTACTCTAGTGGACAAATGAAAAACTTGACATCTTTGTGACTCAATATTTAAATCACATGGAATAGTGAGGGGTGAGGGCAAGTGTTCCTAGCCCAGCTTTTCAAAAGGAAAATAGGTGCAGAATGTGCATGGGAGAAGATCTGATCCTTGTTTGGATGGCTGTGGGCTGGAGGAGAGGAGATTAAGGCAAGCCTGGAGTCAGGCTGGCATGGGTGTGAGAGAATGCTCAATGTCTGCTTTCCTCTGCAAGGCCATGCCAGTGCAAGGAGATTGCACTATTTCACTTTGCAGCATAATGGAAAAATTCAGTGTAACATCAGCCTAATGTTCACAGGGGCCAGCAGGAATCTCTGCTCTCCCAGAGGAAATGGGAGTGAAGGAATTCATACCTATAAGGAGAATTTCTTTGCAGAATTGACTGATGAGAGATGGCATGAAGCAAACGTGAAAGAAATCCCCCACATGCATCTGGCTTTGGAGTGAGACCAGCCCTTTTCTTTGAGATGCCACACAAGTGGCTAGTGATGGAAAAAGCTGATTGTAAGACAAAAATAAAAATATGGCAGTCACTTTCAACCCATCAAACTAGCTGACATCAATGCTTCAGCAGATCAGTCAGTGGTTGATTTATTTCTCCATGTATTTCTCTGGCACACCCAGCCCCTCTTTCTGAGAAAAGGAAAACATTTGTGTGTTTGTATGTTTTAAGAGTTGATTTGTCAGTGGAGCTGCTCAGGATGTTGGTTAAGTGAAAAATAATTCTGTGTGTTTTAGTAAATGCAATTCATCAGAAGCTGTGCAGATTTACTGGGTAGAGCTACTCTGAACACAATGGCATCTGCAGATAAAAAAAAGATAAATTATGATATTACTCTTGCTCTATGATTCATTGGGAAGAATGCAGAAGGCAAGCATTTTCTTCAAAGAAATTATTCTTTGAAGACTGAACAGTGACTATAAAACAACAAAACACCTCCTTTGCAATGGTTT